CGCTTGAGCCATTTAGAGTGATTCAGGAAGAGATTGAAACTATTGCGCAAACGATTGACTCGACTCCTGCACTTAAAATTCTTAATGAAGAAGCGGCTCCAAGGGGCGCGGAGCTTGCTGAGTTAATCACTCAAATTATTGACCTTGAAGCGAATCAGGAAGCCAGTAAATCACGTAAAGACCTCTTTTATATGATGGCTGACGTACGTGGTACGGTCGGCCTTGGTCTGGCTTCTGTGCGTGGTTATGTACTGACAGGTGCTATCGAACAGCGCCAGAGTTTCGACAAGCTGTGGGCTAAAAATACACGACGTTTTAATGACTTGAGTAAAAATTATAACTTACTGTCACGTGATCAGCAGGAGGCTTTCGATCGGTTTAAAGTCGTCAGAGAAGAATTTAATAATCTGTATCCGAAAATGTTTTCTATTCGTGAAAGCAAAGAATGGAACCTAGCTAACTTCTGGTTAGGTACTAAAGCAGCGCCAAAAGCCACAAAAATAGCATCCATTTTGTCAGTCATGGTTGATGATCAAAACAGACTGTTAAGCGCGGATTCAGATGTTCTTCATGCTGACATTACTGAGCTTGAGACGGTGGAGTGGGCATTGATGGCTATCTCATTGATATTGTCAATATTCCTAATCGTTCTGTTTACACGAGTTATTGCCGGTCCGATTGTTAATATCGCAAGTATTATTCGCCAGATTGCGGCAGATAGAAATCTGACATTGAAGATACCTGTAACGGGTAATGATGAGATTGGACAAATGTCTGCAGCATTGAATGACATGATTTCATCAGTGCGCAGTACCATGCTTGAGGTGAATAAAACCGCAGCAAACATACTCGATGGCTCAAGTGACGTGGCTAAACGTGCCACTGGTAACAAGAGTCGTGCTTCTGAGGAACTTAAACGTACTGAGCATTCGACTGAAGTAATCGTTGAGATGAAAGATGTGGCGAGTGAAGTATCACAAGCTGCAAAAGAACAGCAGAAAGCTGCGGTGGTTTCTAAAGACGCAGTACAGACACTGTTCGATAGGATGGCAGAAGTGACGAAATCTTCTGCACAACAGCATGAATCTGCAACCACCACAATGGCGCGTGTTGCGGAGATGGGTGAGACCGGCGGTAAGGTGGTATCAACCTCAAAAGCTCAGGGAGAGATGGTTGCCCGCGTATCAGCCTCAATGAACGAAATGGTCGGCTCGGTACACGAAATGGATAAGGCGGTTAAGGATGCAACAGAGCATGGCAAAGCATCGCTACAGTCCGCTGAGCAGGGTAGAGACTCTGTGTCTGCAACTGTGGCTGGTATGAAGGCGATTTCAGAATCATCTGAACAAATATCTGAAATCATCGACGTGATTACCGAGATTGCAGAACAGACCAACTTGCTTGCGCTAAACGCTGCGATTGAGGCTGCCAGAGCCGGTGCACATGGTAAAGGTTTCGCCGTGGTAGCCGATGAGGTAGGTAAGCTGGCACAACGTTCTTCTGAGGCCTGCGCAAGAGAAATTATCCAGCTGATTAAACGACTCTACCAACTGCCGTGTAAATAAGGTAGCTGATCTGACCGCAGTCAGTCACAACGTGTGCAGCCCTGACTGAAATTGACCAGGGTGGTGTCGCACTTTAACATGGAAGCGAATTGGACCAAGATTCTCAAAAACTGCTGGTTGTATAACCGAGTGCATATCATAGATTAAGTTCAGGCATTGAATGACCGAGCTGAATTAATCGTGGCTCAGAGCTACTGGTGACATTGCTGTGAACAGGGTTACGTAAAAGACGAGGCAGGGCACAGGAACGCGTTTGACTGAACTGATTCAAGGTTCAAGAAGGTATTGCCTCACTGATGGATCAAGCGAATACCGAGATGTGGTAGGCCATTGGTAGTGGAGCATGGATAGAGTGACAAAACTGTGTGATGAGGATGTCAGAAATTGACGGGTGAAGCACCAGGCTAGAACGGTGCACAAAAGATAGTACACCAGCCTTGTAACTGATGCTTCAGCCGCAGGAAAAAATGACTGAGGAAAGGTGCAGGGTGTGGTGGTTGGGTGTAACTGAGGGTTACTGGCAGGGCGTCAGATCTGAATGAGTTAACCAAGCAGGCTAGTCAATTTAAAGGTTTAATAATATCATTACTTATTACTTAAAACCATGTTTGTTGAATAGACAAACTAAACAATGCCCTACAAGGATATCTAGTTTATGGCCATATAAATTAAGTTCTGAAAAAAACGAGCGAGATCAGCCGGAGCAGGGAATGACCTTATACAGCTGGTCGGCTTCAATGATAAGTAGCCGAGGATGTTTGCTGTGAATCTTGATGGTAAAGAGTATTATTCGCATCGGCACCGGATAACCCCGGTCCACGTAATTCTCCGGATTTCTTGTCGAGGGAGTAATCAATTCTTCGTGGTGACATCATATCCCGTTGTCGATTTATCGAAAAGATTGAAGTCTCCTCCTGGTGGAAGTGGGTGATACACGACAAAGACTGGTGATCATAGTTGGATATTGATTGTGGACGTTATCACCGGTTGTTATCGCTGGAGTCATGGCTACTAAGGAAGTGAATGAAAATCGATGAATCAACAATAGAAGCCGGCACCAGAGTTAGCTGGTGTCGGGTGTTGAAAGCCAGTTACAGTACGAAGGTGTATGTGATACTTGCAGGTAAACCTAGTGTACTCCGATTTTCAGTCGCATGCTTAATGGTTCGACAGAAATCAAAAAAACTAAAGAGATTGAGGGCAGTGTGAGGAGGTCGTGAAACGCCATGTAGTAATAAAGTATTTAATACTTGATGATTCATGTCATGATGGCGAAGACTTATTCGCTAAGTTACTTGACCCCGAAGGTTTATGTAAGTCGTGAGCCGATGTCGGGTAGGCGGTGAACGCATGGCATTGAGTAATGACATAGAAATATAAACCCGACTTAGTGACGCATGGTATAACCTTATGCAAGGGTAATGGACGGTATTAACGCGCAAGGGAAATCAAAAAAATAGTGATGATCTAGGCAAAATCATATTTATTGTCGCAATATTCGAAGATGATAAGGTACCGTGTGATGTGATCGAAAGTATCGGTGTGCTTGGGTAATTGCGAGCAAGCATAACGCCGCCCCCCCTCCCCCCCCGTTCGCAGGAAACACTGGCAATACTCAACGAGTATTGAATGGCTAGCTTGGCTTACATGCTGTGTCTAACTGTAAAAACGAATATATTATGACAAAATGACTGACTTATGCCCTTTTTAGGCTAGATATTTATCGTTGGCATCGAATGAGCATTGCTTGAAGTAGATGGAAGCATCCCCTCAAAACTGCTTCATGCTTGATCAGTGCGCGTTGGATGAAATCGATTTATGACGACATCTCAGAAAGTATCACTCGATAAAAAGGTGGCGCTCAAGTAACTTGGAGCTGATGAAAAAGTTGTCGACACTGACACATCGCCATGGAAGAATTCTGGCTTGTATACTCTCAGAGAGGGACGTAAGACAGCAACGCCTGAAGATACCGATTGTTCTTATCCGATGGGTCGTGATCTTGTTTGGAAACTCTATTAAAAGAGCTGGAAGAAAAGCAGAGAAGAGTGCAGAGTGAAATAAATAGTGTGATCGAAGCAGCTAACCTAATTCTTGCGAAAGCAGGTGAAGATCAAGTAGGAAGAAGAGACAACCGAGATTGATGGAATAATCTTCCCAGAACTGGTACTGGATGAAGTAGAAAGTGATAGCGACTTATTCGGGGTTTTTATTGATAACCTGAGTGAAAAACATGCATCACTAAGTGCTCTGGTAGAAAATGCCGGAGATAACCTCGTTGAAGAAAGCATTAAGCAGAGTTTGACCTACCTAGAAAATTTGCAGTCATCTGCGAGGTACATGAGCTATTACCTTATGTCTGACTTTATCGCGGACTGGTTACAGGCGATTGCCAGGAAAACCGATAACGGTGAACCGGTAAGTGTTGAATTTATGAGACGACGCCTCGATCATCTAGCTCCCCTGTTGACTGATAATGTAGCCAAAGACAAAAACGCAGAAGCGCTTGTTGATCAGCCGACACTAGTAAGTGAAAGCCCAAGTGAAAGCTCAAGTGAAATCTCAAGTGCAGAGATTGAACCACCAGCAGAGCAAACAGAGCCCGTTAGTGTGCAGGTGCCTGATGCACTTGAAACAGAAGACAGCTCTGATGATATCGACCTTGATATGCTGCCAGAATTCCTGGTTGAATCCTACGAACATCTTGAAGAGGTGGAATCATTACTGCTCAGTCTAGAAGAGACCCCTGATGATCAGATACAATGAATGCCATCTTCAGGATGTTTCATTCTATCAAGGGAGGTTCACAGTTTGTCGGCCTGAAGCGTGTGTCAAAACTTGCCCATAGGATGGAAGATCTTCTCGGCTTATTGCGTTCAGGTAAAAGACAGTCATCATCTGAAATCATCGACATCTTTATCGAAGGTCGTGACCGTTTGTACCAACTTTTTTCTGAACTGGAAGAACAGGAAAAAGAAATATCCCCAGTTAATGACCTAGTTAGCCTCCTTGAAATGCGTATCGCATCCGATGAGCCTGTTGCTGCTGAAAACGCCACGAT